GTGCGCACGCGTGTGCGTGTGTGTGTGTGTGTGTGTGTGTGTGTGTGTGTGTGTGTGTGTGTGTGTGTGTGTGTGTGTGTGTGTGTGTGTGTGTGTGTGTGTGTGTGTGTGTCTGTGTGCACGCGCGCGTGTGTGCGTGCATGCATGCATGCGTGTGTGGGTGTGTGTGTGGGTGTGTGTGTGTGGGTGTGTGTGCGCACGCGTGTGCGTGCGTGTGTGTGTGTGTGTGAGTGTGTGTGAGTGTGTGTGTGTGTGTGCGCACGCGTGCATGCATGCGTGTGTGTGTGTGTGTGTGTGTGTGTGTGTGTGTGTGTGTGTGTGTGTGTGTGTGTGTGTGTGTGTGAGAGTGTGCGTGTGCGTGTGCGTGTGTGTGTGTGTGTGTGTGTGTGTGTGTGTGTGTGTGTACCACCGGATGGGTTTTATATTGATTGTTATGCTCACTGTAAATGCATCCGATAGAGTTATTACAGCACCAAGGGCATCCATCTCCTCACCCATCTTCCGTTTCCATGCCCTTGTTTCATAACCCATCAACAGTGTGTTATGTGTTGTTGTTGTTTGACATGCACCCTCCCCCACTCACCCTCAGTTTCCCCTCTCTTATGCTAACTGTGTTATTCTGAATCTCAACAAGTCTTCATCTTGCTGTTGACCCTGTGTGTGTTGTCCTAGTTTTCCCATTCTCTGTCTCTCATTGTCCTTACGTTCCTGCATTGGGAGTGGGATTTTCAACAGCAGCTGTGGGGGCTATATTTAAATGTGTGCATACACCGTGCATGTGTGTGTGCACATGTATGTGAGTAAATGGACCATAAGGATCCTCACAGAGGTCAGAGTTGACCAGGCGCAGCATGCCGGATCCGTGGTTCTTCCTTCCTCCAAATATGTTTCCTGCAGCACATCCTGTCAGCAGGAGGGACACAAATAGCCCTTAGCGTGTGTTTGCCTTACCACTGTGTCGTGCAATTAATGGTATTTAAATAAAATACCTTTTTCTAAGCATTTTTCAAATCCCAGTCTCGATTGCAGTATTGCCCCAGCTTAGCAATCTTTTATTAAAAATCCTTTCACACTAATGAGTCCCTGGGCTAATGCCACCAGTGCTTAAAGTTTATAGTGCCATAAATCCTGGGCTAACAGTCTTACAACTTTTATTATGGTTTACTTCCGCCCTTGACCATCACTTAGCTCCATTTCAAAGCAGGGTCATCCCTACTTTTCAGGGTTATTACCCAAAACACATGCATAAAAACACAACTGTGAACTTTGGTTTGAACCGAAGCAACTTACATACATTCAGTACTGTGGACAATCCCCTCAGGAGCAATTTGAGGTGAAGTGTCTTGCCCAGGGACACAACGACATGCTGACTGCAGTGGGACTCAAACTTGCAACCCCCTGATTCTGAATCCAGCACACTACCCACTGAGCCACATCCAATCAAATGTAAGCCAGTGCTGTCTGAAGATGTACACCTGGAGCCATGGGTTAACAGATATGGATGTGGTTGAGCTTCACGTTTTCTTAGATGCACCGAGGTTCTGGTTTGAGTCACTGAACACCAACACTAGAAAAATGGGAATATGAGCCTTGTGCTTGAAACGATACTTCCATAAATCCTGGGCCAACAACCTTTAATGCTGTTTACTTCCGACCTTACTTTTCAGAGCAAGGTCGTCCTTACTTTTCAGTGTTATTACCCAAAACACATTAAGTATGAATATGTGTAAGAACTAAAGCAATATCCAATCAATTCGAAAAGCAATGTTATCCTTTCTGGAGATGTCAACCTAGATCCTAGGCTTTATAGAAAAGTGTGAATATGAGCCTTGCAGATGATGGTAGACTGATATTGTTTTTATTTCCCATGCTAACATCTCTACAGACGGCTCAGGGCTTTTATCTCGCCCCCTGAGGTAATGGAGCAGTATTTCTGTGGGCAGTGCAGATTAATTTATTGATGAGCGATGTTGCTAAATGGAGCCCGATGAGATGCCGTTTCCTGTCAGACTGCAGCCTGGGGTTGTGTCACGTTACCGTGGTATCGATCAGATTCAGTCTCTGAGGGGAAGTGCTGGGCTTTCAGATACAATCTGCTTCTTTCTCCTCACATTTCCCGTCTTTACAGTTTTTATCTCCATTTCCAGGTAAACATGCAGAGGATATATTTGGCGAGCTTTTCAGCGAGGCCAACCTTTTCTACCTGCGAGCCAACTCTCTGCAGGACCGCGTCGACCGGCTGGCCGTCAAGGTCACGCAGCTGGACTCCACCGTGGAGGAAGGTGAGAGAGCGAGACACAGGAAGTGATTACTCATCGTCCAACTTTAAACATTGTGCTCAGTATAACTACTAGTGCTTTTATAGAATAGCAAACTCCAAAACAGTGACTGGGTGACCTTGATGAGGAAGCAGCCAATAGCTATCGGTTATTTCTACTTAAAACCGTTGAATCATTTGAGAAAAATGGATATTCAAACTGTATTCAAGACTTTAAGAGCAAGAAAAAGGTCCATTCAAACTATAGGTGAAGATTATGTTATGGCTTTTTAATATTTTCATTTAATATGTAACTTTTTAAGGGAAAAAGTATCTAGTTCTGGCTTTTGCAAATGTGAAAATGTGTTTCTTTTAAAGAGAACATTTCATATTTCTAAGTCTTTCTGTGAAATTCTTCCTGGAATTTTATAGCAAAAACTATTGAATTTTTTAGAAAATTATCCGGAAATTGAGTGATAATTTAGTTGCAGTCATAATTGAAGCCCAGGAAGTAATCATTCATCATCCGGGTGTTGCCTCTCATGTTTTCTACCAGTCATTTCAACTGTTTTTTATGTCCTCAGTTTCCCTACAAGACATCAACATGAGGAAAGCCTTCAAGAGCTCCACCACTCAGGACCAGCAGGTGGTGTCCAAGAGCAGCGTGCCCAATCCGGTCAAAGAGATTTACAATATGAGCGACAAGCCCCCGCCCCTCAGCATCCTCTCCGTTTACAGGTTTGTGATGATGCACACACACTCTCCAAACACCCACTTGAACTACATTGTGTGAAATTAGACGATAAAAGCTAGCCAATTAAGTAAAGTAAGTAAGTAAGTAAAACTTTATTTATATAGCACCCTTCTCAACACGTGGGGATAAAAGAAGAGGATATCTTTTAATGGATTTTGAATGAACTTCTTGGAGGGAGTGAGAAGCGACTATGATTTACTCTAAAAGAATGAGTTTTCTTTTCTTGGTCTCATATCCCAAGAATACTTTCAGTAAAGTAGCACAGGAACAATTCACAGTACAACCTTGAAATGAGAATAAAGGCATAAAAAACAGCAGCAGGTAATACATAGGATGAAACACCAGTAAAAGACAGCCACTCACCTCCTCCTCCTCCTCCGACGACCCAAAGGCCTGTCGGAAGAGGTCTTTAACTGCCCCTTAAAAATCTCTATTGAGGCAGAGGTTTTTATTTCCTGGGGGAGTTTGTTCCAAAGCCTTGGGGCCAACGCCTCAAAGGCACGGCCACCCTTGGTTTTCAGCCTGGTTCGGGGCACCCTTAGGATTAACTAGAAATCAGTCCACAGGAAGTTGATGAAGTCTTGGAATGGCTCAGTTTTTGAGTTATGTTATAATCTATTTAAATATTAATATAAACAAATGTACTCGTGTAAATCTTCACATATAGCTTATTTAAAACCATGTGTTCTACTTAGCCTGTGTTACTTAAAGCCATGCTGTGTTCTTGATTGGATTTTGTCTCCTTGTGTCTGACCCACATTCCCGGTGAAGCAGCAGATTTGGTGCTATTTCCTGCTGCTGCTTTTATCCAGTATGGCGTGCTCCAGTGGGAGTCCAACTCCTAACCCTGACTACATACCACATGTTTCCATTTCTTTCTCCATTACTTGTCTCTCTGCCTTTCATCCTGTCATTTCCAGTTATGCAGGTTCATCCGCCTCCTCTACTTTTACAATATTCATACCTCAACATCGTGTCATTCTGTCTTTCATTCCTACATGTTTCTACAAAGACATAAGGGCAGCTGTATGAATTCTTGCTGTGTGTTTCTGTAGGGATGACCAAAAGGAAGCACTCAAGTTCTACACCGATCCATCCTACTTCTTCAACCTTTGGAAGGAGAAGATGCTGCAGGACACCGAGGATAAGAGGAAAGAGAAGAGGAAGCAGAAGGTACAAATCTGTCCTAGAGGAACTAACAGATCATACTATAGTTAAATATAACATCTCACAGATAGTAGTTGCCTGGTTGTCTCCAACTGGGGGCTATTCTGTCCAATGTCATGTCCATTTTCCTACCAAATTAGTGTCCGAATATGAAATATCAAGTTGGTTATTCTTAGTGGAAGTAACAACAAAATGAAAAAGACTCATTGCTCTCTCCCTCCCTTCCGTTAGGGGCAGAAGCAGGACGTTGATGGGACGTTACAGCGGGAGGTGAAGAAGGTCCGGAAGGCGAGGAACCGTCGGCAGGAGTGGAACATGATGGCTCTGGACAAAGAGCTGAGGCCGGACCACCGACACACCATTCACCGAGACCGAGGGGCCTCCTCTGAGGGCTCCATGTCTCCGGAGAACAGGTAATCAAAGATCTGCTCAAAGATTATAGGCCAGCCTTTTGCAGAGACTCTAGGAATCAGCCTGACATAACAACAGATTGAAGCTGGCCAAGAACGTCATCTCTGACCCATACATGTCCTGAACAGGGAATATGAATCGAATAGAATGGTTTATTGTTATTATACAGGTTCAATGAGATGAGTAGAGCTACACACAAACAAACAAGAGACGTACAAACAACAAGCATTCATACTTCAATATGCAGATAAAATGAATTGTTACCGTCAAATCGGAGATACAGGGTCAATACAGAGAACTAAGGTTAAAAGGGTTCGTAGGTTCAAAAGTCCCAGGCTCCTCCAACAACAGAAATATATATAAGAAAGATTTAAAAAGAAATATAGGAATTGCAAGCTCAGGAGTTTAGCAGTCTTTCGGCCTTCGGGATCAAATTGTCCCTGAGTAATAATAGTAATACATTTGATTTAAGGCGCCTTTCATGAGACCCGAGGACACCGTGCAATTTGTTAAATATTCTAAGAGGCAACAGAACATGATTAAAAACACAAACATACATCATTGAGAAGACGATTGGACACAAATGATCGTCTGGTGGTCTTTGTCCTGATGCTGCGGGTTATTTGCATGTATTTGAATGTCTTCTCTCTTCCCGCCCTCCTCTCTCCATCAGGGGTCTCGGTGCAGATCAGCTCCACTACCCCAACATGATGAACCACGCGGGCCACGCCCACACCTACTCCGGCCCCCCGCCCAGCGTCCTGGCTGCTCAGATGGCGGCGGGCCACCCCCCGCGAGGAGGAGGGGAACATGACATGAGAGGCAGGGCCATGATGGCGGCTTATCAGGGGGGGACACTGGGTCGTACCCATCACCACCACCACCAGAACCCTCTGCCTCCTCCCCCCTCTGAGGCCATGAACGGAGGCTCCATGTCCCTCCCACCGATGGACTACAGGTACACACCAGAGCCAATGGGATCTAAGAGGCTGTTATTGTTGCACTCGTATCTGAGTCTGAATGGTTGAACCGTTATTAGAATTAGGGCATTTTTATTACTAGTATTATTATAAATAAAGCTTTATTATTATTATTATTATTATTATACCTTATTAACTATGATGGTGTAAGCTCAATGTTGATACAGGTCTTTACTCAGAATGTGCCCCCAACTTATTTTATGAATGAACTCTGAGCAAGTGCTGCCACCTAGTGGGCCCTTCTGTACTTCATAGCAAACCAAACTACAGACATCTTTAAACACTCTCCACTAACTCTCTTTTATTCCCTCTCTCTTGCAGTATGGAGGGCTACGCCAACACCGGCCCCC